GCCCATGGGTTGCCTGGCTTGGTCTCAAAGGTGATGTGGATCAAACCGAACAACCAGGCCAGCCTCGGCTGCTAGCCAGCCTTCCTCCTCCTCGGGGCCTGCAGAAAGTGACGGCCCTCAGAGAGCTCTCTGCCAGATCAGATCCCTCCGTGGAAACACCCTGGAGTCCCTTCGTTCCAAGTCAGACAGGCTGATAAGAAAGGAGAGCTAAGGTGCAGCAGGCAGGGCATCACACAGGGAGAGACAGGAAGAGGAAGCCAAGGGGCAGTTCTGCTTTGCAGCCGCAAGGCCGGCAGACGGACGTCCCAGAAAGTTCCTATTTAGTGTTCACTTCTCTGGCATGGCTCCATTGTTTTGTATGTCTCAGAGGAATGCCTCCCATTCATATGAGATGAACAAAGAGTGCTTACAACGATCTGAACAGGTAGGCCAGTTCTAGTATTGGGCCAGGGCTTGTACCGTCACCTCCTGATTGATGCATACTTTTTCTTCCATCTCACCCAAGGGTGTGTTGCAGGTGACCGGGTGCAATACAGCTGGGGGGGCGGGGGCTTCCTGCTTCCCTGCCTCATTTAGATGGAACTGGGATTTCTATCATCCTTCCTCCCACAAGGCATGTCTCCAGTAAACGGAGCTCCCTTTTCGTCCTAGAAGAAAAAGGCTGGCCAGAATTTCTTTCCAAAGGGTGAAGTGAGCTTTGATGACCCTTCCGGCAGGCTGGTCTTTCGGGCTAAACCCACAAGGCAACTCGGCGGCTGCTTGGGCTCCCGCCTGGGTTGAAACCTTGCCCTCCGGCCATCCACGGGCAATGCCAGAGCTCTCCTCCCCTGCTGCTGTGGGAAGCTCAGCCTTGCGTTTTTGATCAATTTTTCCTTCTTTGCCTCCAGGCCACGTTCCACACTGTCCCCAAGCAGCCTTGCTTCTCCATGGGCACCATCGAGAAAACCCCGTTGTCCTTGGCTAGTTGTGGTCACCCTCAGCCCATCTCTCGCCTTCTCAGCTGCCCTCCCTGGATTCCTGCCTCACTCACCTCCCTCTACCCCGAACATTTCCACCAGATAAGACTCAGGGTTGCACAGCCTTCCTGCTTCCAGAGGAGCCCTTCCTCCTACTCTTCAGAGCTCCTCAGGGCCCCTCCCACAAGTCTTTCTCCCAGGACACACGGGGGGGGGGCTGAAGCCAACCCCCCACACAGGGGTGTCCATCAAACACACACACACGTGTGCTTCTCTTGTGGTCTGGAACCAGCCTTCCTGTCCCTGGTGGGCACCTGCCGCTTTCAAACCCAGGATCCCCCGTGAGCAACCACTTCTGCCCCTTACCACCCATTCCTTGGGAGGGAAATGATCCATGGAGATGGGGATGGGGGGGGTCATCATCTCTCTCTCTCTCTCTCTGTAAATATCCGTTAGGTGTTGGGTGCTGTTAATTTTGATATGGAACCTGACCTGCTCCTGGAGCTCAAGGCGCAGGCCTTAGCCTTCCTTAATGCAAGTCTGAGGAGCTTCTCGAAACTGGGCTGAGCCCACTGGGCGCTGGTCTCCTCTTCGAAGAAGCGCAGCGGCGGGTGAGGAGACTGGCTCGTCTTGCTTCTCTTTCTGTTTGTGAATCCCGCGCAATCGTTCTTTGCTTGAACGGGGATGACACAAATAAACAGCTGAGAAATTCAGGGTGAGCGTTCATGGGCCCCCAAGGCTTCCACTTTCTCATGGTGGACCGGCCTCTTCTCTGTCGGCTGGCTGGTCTCCCGCAGCTCCGACGAGCCTCTCCAAACCCCACACCGGAGAGCGAGGCCCTGGCACAGAGCATCGTCTCCAAGGAAGGGACCCAGGCAGGATCACACCCAGGGTCATCAGCACCAGGCCTAGACAGAGCGGGACGACACCTGGCTGGCTCCTTTACACTGTTTCACACAAACAGAGAGAGAGAGACGCCCGCAGGCAGGTGTCCACACCTGTGGGGCTGACCAGTGGCCTCCTGCTGGCGGCAGCGGGGGCAGCGGGGGCGCAGCCAGTTTGGGAGCACCCTCTCTAACTCCCGCCTTGATCCTTTTGGAAGCCTCGCTTCTTCCTCGGGTCCTTCAATAACCTGCCTCTGCATCTCGCAGGCTCGCTGTCTGTCTGTCTGTCTGTCTCCACGGCACTTGAGCCACGGGCCAGCGGCGGGGGCGGGGGTTTCCCTTTTCTGTGCCCAGCAGACCAGACACTTTCTGCGGGCTTTCCGGGACCGAGGCTCGGGGGACGCACTTCTGCTTTCCATCGCCGGCTCAATCGGAGGCTTCTGGACGGGACGTGCTGCACCTGGTGAACCTCCGCCCCCCGGGCGCCTTCTCCTCTTTCGCCTGCTGGTCCTGAGCGTGTCCTCCCAGGGCCAGGATGTCCCAGGAGGGGGTGACCTACGCCGACCTGCGGTTCGTGAGGAGCCCTCCGGAGAAGAGCAGCCCCCCGAGAGGTAGGGATCCGTGCCTCCCCTCGCCCCGCGCCCCCCTCTTCTCCCCCTGATCTCTGCCTCGCCCGCTCTTCCCGCAGAGCCCGGGGGCGGCGGCGGCGGCGAGGGCGACGGGGAGCTGACCTACGAGAACGTCGAGGGCCCCCAACTCCGCCGAGGAGAGAAGCGGTTGGAGGAGGAGGAGGCGGCGGCGAGGAGGAGCAGCAGCTCCGGGCGGGCGCCGAGTGAGTAACCTCGGGGGATGTCTCTCCTCCGCCCCGGCGAGGGCCGCCTCTCCTCTTCCGTAGCCCTGCGGGGCAACTCCGGGCTTTGGAGGAAAAGGTCTGGAGGTCGGTTCCCCAGGAGGGCAGCGCCGGTAAGGGGGGGGGCGCCAAGTGCGCGCCCACTTCTGCGCTCTCTCGCGCTCGCGCTCTCCCTCTCCGCCTCCCCCCCCCCCCCCCCCCCCCCCGTTTCAACAATGGCCGTGAGGCCGAAGGAGGTTTCCTTTTTTTTTTTGCTTTAATTGTTCCGTGGGACTGGCACTGCCGGCCCGCCCTCGACATTCCCGCGCACCTTCACCATAAACATCCCGCCACCCCCTTCCTTTTCCCTGCCCTCTCGTGCCCGTGTTTGTAGCCAGGTGTCCCTGAGCACGTGCTCCCTCCCCTCTTCTTCTTCCTCCTCCTCCTCCCCCCCTCCATGCCCCTCCCTCCCCCTT